AGGCTTTCAACAGGACCTTTCAAAAGCAGAAGTCGTCTCACTCCAGAGGGAAACGTGCACTTGTTACATACACGCTTTGTTCGTCCCAGCACCGTGCAAGGCCGCCCAAGAGGTCCCCGACATCGCCCCAAGACGGCTCAAGAGACCTCCAAGGGCGCCCTTAGACGGCACAAGATGACCCAAGAGGGCCCCAAGATTGCCCAAGCGAGCTCCAACACGGGCCAAATAGAGCCCAAGAAACCCCCAACAGATTCTTATGAGAGAACCCAAGAGGGCTATGGGAGGCTTCCAGGAAGGCCCAAGATGGCCCCAAGACGGCTTCCAGAAGGCCCTCGCCCCCCAAGACGGCCCAGAACGGCCCCAGGACAGCTCAAGAGGACCCTATGACGGCCCGAAAAGCTCGCAAAAGGATTCTCAAGAAGGCCTCGAGATGCCATATTCATTGACGGCCCAGCAGGCCCCAAAGATCGCCCCAAGACGTCCCAGCAGGCCTTCAAGAGGGCGGCCCGATGGCCCAAGAGTGCCTGCAGACGGCCTACGACCTCTGCGACTCCTGAATGCATTATCCCAGGGGTCCCAGGGATGGCTTTTCATCCCGACAGGACGACAAAGGATCGAGATTCGGCGAACGAGGTGTTCCGTCCTTCCGGAGACTCTGGTGTTCTCGTCGCCGCATTGCAGGGACCGCCTCGAGATTCGGGTCCAACGCAACCCAAGACTACTCCGGGAAGTTGGCCGCAGTTCAAGGCCACAGCAGGTGGCGAGAGGACCCACACTGCACGGTGCTCGAGGGACTAAGGTTCATGGCGCGATGCGCCAATGCAGTCTTGTATACGTGTGTATGTACTGCTGTGTATATACGAAGCACCCCGCAGTTGCGGATAAGAGTGAGGGGCAGCGGGGTCGTCGGCAGTCTGCGAGGCTTTGAAGAAGCCCACCGCAGGCGCAACATTTTTCAAGCTATACAACAAGCCCGCCGCAGGCGCCGACTTTTTGTTAAAACAAACTAGGTGGGTCGCGGGTGGGGGGTGGATCGACGATGGGTCGCGGGTGGGTCGCGGGCCGGGTCGCGGGTGGGTCGCGGATGGGTCGCGGGTGGGTCGCGGGTGGGTGGCGAGCGGGTCGCCAGGTGGGTCGCGGGGGGGTCGCCGGGTGGGTCGTTGGGGGGTCGCGGTTGGGTCGCGGGGTGGATCGCGGGTGGATCGCGAGGTGGGTCGCGGGTGGGTCGCGGGTTGGGTCGCGGGGGGGACGACGACAACAGCAACAACAATCATTTTACCCTCATGCGCGATGTATTCACATGAAGCATGCGAACATCATGATAACCATCCACATCATGGGGGACTTTTGTTCTGTAGCGGAGTCTGTTATTCCCATTTCCAGATCTCCCGCCCAATGGCAAACACCTCCGAGGAATTTCAACACATCCCGCCTCGAAAACGCATGTCCGAGCCTTGCTGCGCCGATGCGAGACAGCCAGTGGAACCCCAGCGATGGGTACAGCACAGGGAAGTATCGAACGACAGGATTGCCTTGGTGGGGATGGGGGCTGTCGGCGGTGAGGCAAGGACCTGGCCCTGAATAGAAAGGGAGGAAGGAAGAAGTCTCGAGCAGGGCTGCTGTTGTTGCTGGGAGCGGCGCCAATGCTGAAGAGAGTAGGGCGCCAGTCCAGATTAACACGGAAGGAAGTCTCGAGCGGGAACGTTGGTTTTGTTGGGACGGCGGCTTTCGGCGGCGAGGAGGAACGCCGCCTTGAGTAAGAACGGAGGACGCATCGAGCGGGAGCCGTGGTTTTGTCGGGACGGGGGTTGTCGGCGGCGAGGAACAGCACCGTCTTCAGGAAGAAGGAAGGCATCTTCGAGCGGGAGCGTTGCTCTTGCTGGGAGCGGCGCCAGTTCAAAAGAGAGTAGGGCGCCAGTTCAACATAAAACGGAAGGAAGTCTAGGGCGGGAGCGCTGGTTTTGTCGGGGCGGCGGCTTTCGGCGGTGAGGAGGAGGGGGTCGGCGGGCGCCCGAGGGGGGGAGTGGCCACGAGACTCGGCTACCCCCGCCCCTAAAAAGGCGGAAAGCTGCAGGGTCTTGGTTGAACAACTGTGTACGCACGTTGGGTTCGATGCGTCGGGGACCCCCTGGCGATTGCTTCGCGAGGAGTGGGAGTTCATAACACACGAAGCGCTTCACACAACAGCCGCTGCAAGTGCGTAGGCGGATAGTTTTTAGCACTGTCGCACTTGGCTTTGTTCCAAAGTTATGTTTGTTCGGGTACGTTTCCCCTGTGAAACTGTTGTGTGCTGAAGAAGTGCCTAACAGAGAGGCTGCCTGCAGACGCGGCTTCACTGAGACATAGAGTGATCCATGCTTGCAAGGACGTGCAAATGCAGTAGGCAGTCACAGGCACTAGCAGCAGCAGGTGAAGTGTTGCTGCTGGTCGTAGGCGCGGTGCCTCCAAAAATGACCACAAGCAGCAACAAAAGGCAGGGCTGCTGTTTCAATGCGTTGCCCTCCTCCCTCCCTCCCTCCCTCCTCCCTCCTCCCTCCTCCCTCCTCTCTCCCTCCTCTCTCCTCCCTCCTCCCTCCTTCCTCCTTCCCCGCCGCGACGAGGCCCCCCAGGGGCGCGCGGCCGCGCCGGCCGCGCGGACGCCCTTCGGCGTGCCGCGCACGCGCCCGCGCGGGGCGGCGGCGCTGCCCCCCCCCCGCCTCCTCCCCGATGGGCGGCGGCGCCCCGGCCGACGGCCCCGGCAGCGGCGAAGCGCGGCACAGGCGTGGGGGGGGAGCTCGAGCCTCGAGCCTCGAAGTCTGAGCTGAGCTCCTGCGTCCCTCCTCGGACTCGCGCCCTCTCCTCGAAACTCGAGTTAAGTCGGGCCTGTCCCTCTACAGGAAGAAAATTCAAAAATAGGTAAAAAAACAGCATGGGGATTATTGTTGCACTATTTTTCAATGTTTTGGAGTATGCTTGGGGTATTTTTAATTTCTCGTCAAATACCCCTGTAGGGTGACAGGCCCGACCTAAACCTCGAGCCTCGGGCCTCGGGCCTCGAGCCTCGGGCCTCGGGCCTCGGGCCTCGGGCCTCGAGCCTCGAGCCTCGGAGTCTGAGCTTTGAGTCCCGTCCTCGCGGCGGTGCGCAGGGGAGGGGGGCTGGGGGGCGGGAGGCGGGCCGGCCCCCTCAAAAGGACTAAGGAGGGGAAAAGACACGCAGACACAATTTATCGTCTATTCCCAGAAAATATAGGAAAATGTGGGAAGTGGGGGGGAAGACGAAAAAACCCGAAAACATTGGAAAATATTGCGAATCCTGTGATCTGTGTGTAGTTAGTTGTTTGTCCCAGGGCCCCATTCAGAGAGGCGGGCCGGCCCCTTCAAAAGGGCGCGCAGGGCAGGGCCCGGCAGGGGGGGGGGGCGCCCGGAGGGCGGAGGCCTCCGAGGAGGCCCTCGGCGGAGGGCGCCAGGGCTAAGTTGGGCGTGTCCCTCAAAAAATAGTCGGGGGACATTTTTTGTTTTTTGAATTGTTTGACCATTTGATGACATTTTTCGACTATTTTTCTGTTCGTCCAAAATCCCCCTGTAGGGGGACACGCCCGACCAAATGCCAGGGCTAAGTCGGGCATGTCCAAGCAGTGGCGAGGCGTCCTGGCTCGCCTGTAGACCCACCAGAGAATGTTCTGAGAACCTTTCGGGGGGTGTACGAAATGCTCTTAGGACATGTGTGGCTGGGACTGCATTGTGTTAACACATCAGGTGCATGTTCTAAGAACATGGTTTTGTTCTTAGAAGATTTATGCGTATGAGGGCATTTCGTGGTAGGCCTATAGGAATGCCGGGACGGTCGGTCCCTGCTCAACTCTACAGGAGGAATATTCAACAACAGTCAAACAAACAACGGGGGAGGATGTTTTTAACTATTTTTGATTGCCTTTAAATCTGTTTTGACTATTTTGCATTTGTCCTTCAAAATCCGCCTGTAGTCGGACATGCCCGACCTAACGCCAGGGCCTCCACAAGAGGTCCACCCCCTCGGAGGCTGCCTCTGTCGGCTACGAGAGCTATAGGCGCCAGTCGTCGAGAGCAGGTATTCCTTGACTCCCAGGTCCCAGACTGCCTCGAGCGCCGCCCTGCTTCGGGAGTCGACCTATGCTTCTGCTGTGCTTTGCGTCTCTCTGGGAGGGCCTGAGCCCAATCTGCTTCACCTGCCCTCTTGCTTCGCGCTTGCACCCACTTCTTCCGGCCGACGTGCAATGGCCCTTCGCCGGAGCGACCTTCGGTGCATGGCGTTCGTGTGGCGCGGGCGGGCCGGACCCAAGCCCGCGGGCCGCCCAGGTCGCAGCGCATGCGCAGTTCGGCAGGCCGCAGGAGCGAAAGAAGGACATACACGTACATGAATCCACGCTGGTTTCGAGAGTGTGCATTGCGCGAATGCTCGTATCACCCGGACGGTCTCGCGGATCGAGGGGCCGTGTTCAGCTCATGGTTGGGCGCGTACGTCGTCCTTTGTGGGCTCCCTAAGGTCACTCTTACGTTGCCACAGAGGTTCGTTGCACACTGCGCGTGGCTCCGCGCGCACGAGCAACAAAACGAAGACATAACGAAAAACAATGTGTAAGTCCAGCCCTGAGCCAGTGCGCCTGGGTTCGCCCCCTCCCTCCACTCGCGCCCCTCAGAAGCCGAGTGCCAAAGCTTGCTGTTGCCTGCGCAGTGTCGCTTCTTGCAGCCAGCCGAGCAGCGATGGGGAGACGCGCTTGTGCACATGGATCGCTCTTATTCGGAGGTTGATGGACCTCCTACCCTGACACGTCGATGAGCGAATGGGCCGTTCTCGGTTCGCGAGAGGGCGTCGCGGCCGTCCTTTTTGCGGGTCCAGGTCCGTCGGTTTCAGTCCTGGGCCGTTTTCATTGAAGGGTGGTTTTTAAGAAAGGGAGGCTTGTCCACCGCCGACTTTTGCCTGCGTAAGGGCCACTCTCCGTGTGCGCAGGGCCAGTCTTGCATACGCCGCGCGGCCCGCCCGCAGCCGTTTGGCTACCCTTTTTGGGGCTCCCAGGGCGGGCGCCTTCCGCGGCACACCCCGTCGGCCGCGGCTGGACAGGCGCCCCGCCCGCGTCGGCCCTTGGCAGCCCGAGCGCCGGGAGGCCACCTCGGAGAGCGTGGGCCGTCATACCAGCTGGAGGCCTTCGGCCCATCCCGCCAGCCACCATGCCGGGGCCGTGGGTGCAGAGCCCGAGGCGAGGATCTATCCTCAGACGAGGAAGCGGTATCCATACCGCTACCCTTCGCCGACTGTCCCACTTGTCGGCCTCCTGGGAGGCCCTCGTCGCCACCGCTGGATTCGCCTCGATTTCTTGGTCAGAACGCACCCAGGGAGAGGTCCTGGGGGTAACGGTATCTGCCCCGGCTTGCCTATAGGCCCACCAAACATTGTTCTAAGAATTTTTGTGGTTTCTACGAAATGTTCCTAAAACATGTCTGGCTGGGACTGTTTTGTTTTAGTACATCGGGTTCATGTTGTTACTCGAACATTTTGGGGTTCTAAGAACATGTCGTGGTAGGCCTATAGGAATGCGAGGACGGTCGGTCCCTGCTCAAGTATCGGTACCTATGGGTTCTCCGATCGCCTTGGCTGTGGGCTTGGAGTCCGAGGCGAGGATCTATCCATCACCGCCGCTCGGAGGAGCGAGCTTCGGGGGTGGGTGTGGATAGACCCAGGCCACCAAAAGGCCACAATGTATCCATGCCCACCGCCTGCCGAGGTGCCCGAAGATCGATCCCCCGGGCGGCGGTGATGGATAAATCCCCGACTCGTACAGGGGCCTCGCGGGGATACTTCTTGGGTTCTCTTGGGACGCCTCTCGGGGGCCTCTTTGAGTTGGCGGCGCACACGAGGGGGCGGCGGCAGGGGGCCGACCTAAAAGGGCGGGTCGCCTCTCAGACGGCAGGGGCCTTCTGAGCAGGACGCAGAGGCTTCTGAGAAGCCTTCTCGGAAGCCTCCGGGGCCCGATACCAAAGCTGGCCCCTTGCTGCCGACCCCTCGTCCGCGCCACCAACCCCAGGAGTACCCCGAGAGACGTCCCGAGAGAACCCACGAGGCGACCCCACGAGGCCCCTGTGCGAGGCAGGGATTTCTCCATCACCGCCGCCACTCCTCCACGGTCCCTGCGCCGCAATCCTCCTCCTCCTCCTCCTCCTCCTCCCTCCTCCTCCTCCTCCTCCTCCTCCTCCTCCTCCTCCTCCCCCTCCACCTCCTCCGCATGGTCGTCGTCGCCGTCAACATCACCAACGACACCATCAGCAGCATCACGAGAATCACCATGGTTCGAACAGCCACACCCCTCGTGGGCAGCGCCGACTGGGCCTCTCGAGCGCCTCTCGGGGGCCTCCTTACCAGCACGCCCTTAGGCCGTGCCCCTGGCGCCTCCCGCCAGCGGGGCGTCGGGGCCCACCTCGGAGGCTCCGCGGGCGCAGACACGCAGGCCGGCCCTGGCCTGGCCGACCCCTACAGTGGAGGCCCATGCCAGGGAGCGCCCTGGTCGCTTCCAGGGTGCCCTGGGCTTCTTGGGTTTCCAGGGTTTTGACGTGGAGAGGGTTTCTTGTGGACGGGCCTCTACTGTTCCCCTACAGTCAACCATGATAGTAAGGATGAGGCAACGTTCCAAGGCTACCCTTGCATCCTTGCCCCTTCGGTAACTATTCGGCATCCTTCGGCATTCTGCTGCGCTCCGCACGAAAACGTCAACATGGCGTTCCAAGGCCCTTGCGTCCTTACAGCGCATCCTTACTATCCTGGTCGAGTGCACCTGGGCGAGAGGCGCCAGGTTTGCACCTACGTGCGCCGACCCAGGCCGGGCCAGCCTTGAGCCAAAAGGTGTGCCGCTGCACATGCTTTCCTGGCCAGGCCAGGAGGGCCGCGTGCGCCGCTCCCCTGGGCGCGGCCACGATCGGGGCAGGCATCGTGCAGCTCAAGCAGGGGCGCAGCGTCTTGGCCCGCCTATGGGCCCACCAAGGAGTGTTCTAAGAACCTCTCGTGGTCTGCACGACATGTTCTTAGAACATTTCTGGCTGAGATGGTCTTGTTTTAACACATCGGGGTTATGTTCTAAGAACACGGTTTTCGTTCTTGGAACATTTTTGGGGTTCTAGGAAGACCCCGTGGTAGGCCTATGGGAATGCCAGGACGGTCGGTCCCTGCTCAAGGCAGGCATCGTGTCGCTGGCGTCCTCCTGTTCCTCGTACTTGTCCTCACTTGTCCTCCTCCCGCCTCGTTGTCGTCGTCGTCATCCTCCTCCAGCGCTCAGGGAAGGGCGCAGCACCACCGAGAATCTCCCTTCTGTGGAGAGGCTGGAGCCTCCGACTGGGCTCCCGCGGCCTGGAGAGACCACGATGGAGCCCGCGGCGGACGAGGTGGCGTCCACCAGGGGAGGAGGAAGAGCGGGCGGATGGGGTGATGGGAATCAGATCCCCGAATCATCAGGGCTGGGGGCGGTCCTGGGTAACTACAGATCCGCGCTTCGGGGGCCCAAACCGGAGTTACTCTGGACCGCAGTTATCCTGGATAACTCGGGCGTCCAACCCTCCCGGATCATCAGGGTTGCTCTGGATAATTGAAAGAGCGTGTTCTACCGTTGCTGGCGGAAAACTGGGGGGGGGTCACTGGGGTTTCCAACCCGCCCCCCCCCCCCTCGAAAATGGGGGGGGGGTCACTACCAGTTCGAACCCCTCACCCCCCCTCCCAGTCCATCATGAAAAGGGCGGGGGTCACTACCAGTTCGAACCCCCCCCCCTCGAAAACCGGGGGGGAGTCTCGAACCCCCCCACCCCCCCCATCGCCGCCGGCAAACGATTCCCGCTCTTCGGGACAGTTGGACAATGGTGGGGATGCTGGGACAGTGGTGGGAACGGCGGTGGTGGGGACAGTGGTGCGGGGACAGTGGGACAGTGGTGCGAACAGTGGTGGGGACGGTGGTGGTGGGGACATTGGTGAGGAGACAGTGGGACAGTGGTGGGGACAGTGGGACAGTGGTGGGGACAGTAGTGGTGGGGACAGTGAAGGCGGTGGTGAGGACAGTGGTGGGACAGTAGTACAGTGGGGAAAGTGGTGGGGACAGTGATGGGGACAGTAGGGACGGTGGGACAGCACAGTGGGACAGCGGCGGGGACAGTGGGACAGTGGTGGGTACAGTCGGGACAGTGGGACAGTGGTGGGGACCGTGGGGAAAGTGGGGAGAGTGGGACCGTGGTGTGACAATGGTGGGGAGAGTGGCGACAGTGAGACACTGGTGGTGGCACTGGTAGGGACAGCGGAGACAATGGTGGGAATAGTGGGGACCGTGGGACAGTGGTGGGGACGGTGGTGGTGGGGACAGTGGTGTGGGGACAGTGGGAATGTGGTGAAAACAGTGGGTCAGTGGAGGGTGCAGTGGTGGTGGGGACAGTAGTGAGGGTGGTGGCGAGGACGGCGGTGGGACAATGGGACAGTGGGGACAGTGGCGACAGTGGTGGGGACAGTGGGGACAGTGGTGGGAACAGTGGGACAGCTCAGTGGGACAGCGGCGGGGTCAGTGGGACAGTGGGACAGTGGGGACAGTGGGACAGTGGTTGGGGCCGTGGAGCAAAGTGGGGAGAGTGGAGCCGTGGTGGGAACAGTGGAGGGGACAGTAGGAAAGTGCGATAGTGGTGGGGGCACTGGTAGGGACTGGGGACGGTGGTGGGAACAGTGGGGACAGTGGTGGTGAGGACAGTGGTGTTGGGGACAGCAGTGGGGGATGCGGTGCGGACGGTGGTAAAGACCCGGGAGTCGTTTGCTGGCGGTGAGCGTGTGGGGGGGGGAGGGGTTCGAACCAGTAGTGAACCCCCCCGTTTTGTTGAGGGGGGGGGTTCGAACCGGTAGTGACCTCCTCCGGTTTTCCGGAGGGAGGGGGGGGGTTCAAAGCGGTAGTGACCCCCTTTCGGTTTTCTATAGAGGGGGGGGGGTTCGAATTGGTAGTGGCCCCCCCGGTTTTCTGGAGAGGGGGGGGTCGAACCGGTAGTGACTCCCCTCGGTTTTCTGGAGGGGGGGGTTGAACCGGTAGTGACCCCCTCGGGTTGTTGTTTTCTGGGGGGGGCGGGGGGGAGGGGTTCGAACCGATAGTGACCCCCCCCAGTTTTCCGGAGAGGGGGGGGGGGCTTCGGACCAGTAGTGACCCCCCTGGTTTTCCAGAGTGGGGGGGGGGAGGTTAGGGGAGGGGGGTTTTGCCAGGGGGAAGGAGGGGGGTCCAGCAGGGGGGTAGGGGGGGATTTTGGGAGGGGGGGGGGCCTCCCGGGTTCCAGAGGAAGAGGGGAAATAATTATCCACAGTGAAGTTGCGGTGGATCACGCTCTCTCGAATGATTCGGACGTCCAGTGGATTGTGAAGGTCGATGAGGGGGTTGAGCGAGTGAATGAGTGAGAGTGATAACAAGCGCGATGTAGTCCCGTGCCTCCGAGCCGCCCCCTGAGCTCCTTGCCGAAGGCGACGAAGCAGAGGACGTAGAACAGGCAAACAACTGGAGCCCGAGGAAATGCGACCAGGAAGCCCAGTCTGTACGCGAGGCGTGAAACGAGCCCCAAGCCGCCGATACATCGAATAAATACATCATTGCACACAAAGAATAACAACTGGCTAAGCAGAAATACATTCAACTCGACACGGCCCACTGCAATGATGACAACACCACTGGTCATAGGGCAACCTCGTATTCCGTATAAGCAGGGCAGGGTTGCACGGCTCCAATTCGAGGCAGGGCGGCGTTGCGTCGAGGTATTGAGGCCCGCAGCCACAAGCCGCGAGGCGGCGGATGGGGGACGGGACGAGGAACGGTGGAGAATGAGGACACGGAGGATGAGCAGGAAGAGGTGCAGGAGGAGGAGGAGGAGGAGGAGGAGCAGGAGAAGGAGGAGGAGGAGGAGGAGGAGGAGGAGGAGGAGGAGGAGGAGGAGGAGGAGGAGGAGGAGGAGGAGTGGGAGGAGGAGGAGGAGGAGGAGGAGGAGGAGGAGGAGGACGAGCAACCGGACGAGGTGGCATCCACGGAGGCGTCCGACAGCGAGGTGAGGCAGCACTTGGCGGCCGCGCCAGCACACGTCGAGGACGCGTCCTCTTCGCTCGGCTGAGGGTCGACAGCTTGGGGGGACGGGCCTGGATGATTGATCACTAAGCTCCTCTTCTTTCTCCTCCTCTACCTCCTCATCGATGGTCCGAGTTTGTCATCTTCGCCTGCGCTCCTCGGAGGGTGCCCAGCGGAGCGGCTTCCTCCTGCGCAGCTCCTCGCAGACGTCGGCCTCCCTGGGGTGCGCTCGGGCGCGCGCGGCCGCGGTGCCGCGAGGCGCGCAACCGTGGCCGCGCCCCTGGGGGGAGTCCGGCGGAGCGGCGTCTCCCCGGCGCTCCTCGCTGGGTGCTGCCAGGCGGGCAGTGGTCGCCACGCTCTTGCGCCGCGGGGGGTCCAGCGGAGTGGTGCCTCGCGCAGACGGGAGCGTCTTCCCCGCCCTCGCTCGGCCTCGCCCCAGCGTGCGGCGAAGAGCCATGTCGAGAAACACCCGGCTTGCCTCCAGGGTGCCCTGGGTTTCGTGGGTTTCGACGGTTTTGCCGTGGAAGGCGGGACGCTCCCACACCAGAAGTCAATGGCCCTCCTGGGTCCTCGGGGTTGGGTTTCTCGTGGAAGTTTTCTCGTGGTCGGGCCTCCGCCGCACTGGTCCTGTGTTTTCGTCGCCCTCAGGGGGGGAGGCGCGCGCGCGCTCGGTGGCCGGCGCTCTCTGGCCCTGCCGCTCGGGAAACGGTACGCCACAAGATGTTGTTTGTACCATATGCTCGGGTCGGACGCACGCCTGCGAGGAGGGCACCTGGCACCAGTGTGTCCTCCTGCGGCCCACTCGCTGTCAATGGAGGAGATGCCACCCCCGACCCCGATACATAGCGTTTGCGAGACGGCCCTGGGCGTTTACTGAACAGCCCTGTCCTGTTCTATTCCTTCCTTGGGTGCGTGTCCTGAACGGCTTCGCTTGTCGGGGTGCTTATTGTGAGGGTGGATGCTCTGCTCTCTACGCTGGGTGCTGCCGTGCAGCTGTCGCCAACTTGTGCACCGCATCCCTGCATGCTCCGGCGAAGCGGAGCCTCACGCAGATCCGAGCACCTCCCCCTCCCGCGCCGGGTGCCGCCCGGCGTCCCGCCGTCGCCACTCCGCCGCGCCGCGCGTGGAGAGGGCCGCCGCCGCCGCCGGCGCCGAGGGAGGCGTCGCTCGGAGCCTCCCGTGCCGCGTGTGGCCTGCTCCCCCGTTCTCCGGTGCCTGTGTCGGCGGCGCGCCGGGCCAGTGAACAAAATCTCGACGGGGGGGTTTTCGCTAGTTTCGGCCTCCGAGGGTCCTTGTCGGGCCGCGGGACCGTCAAAAAATGATTTGGGCTGGGAAACGGGTCCTGGGCAAGGGGTCCAGACCTCGGAGCCCAGACCCCCGACGTCATGATTTTTTCGTTACGTCGACTCTTGGAGGTGTCGACCCATTCCTCTGAACCAGTTTTTCGTCCTGAGTCGTTGTTTGACGGTCTCGAGGGCCGAGAGGCAGAAAATAGCGAAAAACCTCCCGTTATGATTTTTTCATTACCCGAGGGGGTTTGGGAGGGTCGACGTTGTGAAAAAATCACGGCGTCGGGGGTGTCCGGGAGGAGGGAGGCGAGAGGGGGCAGGCAGGCCCTCTCAGCAGGCGGCGGGGGTTCCCAGGAGCCGCCAGGCCTTCTGAGAGGCCCTCTGCGGCTTGGGATCAGGCATGTGTACAGGAGGAATATGCAAAAATACAAAAAAACAGTCCTTGAGCTTCGGGGTATGCCCCCTGCCGGCCCTAGTGAGAAAGCAGGGCCGTAGCACAACTCAGCGCAGGGGATGTTGGCAATAGCCTGTAGATCACCCGTGTAGGCGCTCTGACGTCACCCACTCATGCGGATGTCCTTGTCCTTCCCCTCCTCCCCCTCCTTCCCCTCCTTTTCCTCCTCCTCCTCCTTCTCCTCCTCCTCCTCTTCCTTCTCCTCCTCCTCCTCCTCCTCTTCCTCTCCTCCCACCCTCGTCGCAGCTCTTTCTCCCTCAAGCTGCGCCTCGTCATCCGTCCTTCCTCCTCTCTTCTTCCAGCCTCCCGTTTCTACCCGCCCCTGGGAGATTGGATATTCTATCTCCTGGGGCCGAGGCAAAAAACGTGCCAACGGTGTGCTGGAACCTCGTTTCGCGCTGTGATCGTCGCTTCGCCTGTCGGGTTGAGCGAATCGTTGCAACCTCTGCCTGCTTAAACCGAAGATGGCCGGCTCGAGCTTGTCTGCCCACACGTCGACATGCAGCCAGGCTCTGACGGCATAGCCAAGTAGCAGTGGTGTTTTCTGGAAGAAGCAGCGCGATCAACAGCCGCGTGCGGTGGAAAACATATCTCGCGATACTGCGATGCTGCACGGTGGAGGCAGGGTATCTCACGAGGTCCTTCTTGGAAAACCATCCGGTGAGCCAGGTTCGTACGTGATGCCGTAGGTGCTCTGACGGTGAGGGGGTACTTGGTGCACGCAGTGCCATGTGTTTTTGTCGTCGCGTCCCCCACCTTTAGTCGGAGGACGTCGACGAGGCCGTGAAGAAGTTGGGGCCTTACATGCGGCCTCCGGTGTACCAGCGCATTTTGTTGGGAATGCTGCAGGCGACTGACGAGGTGTTCTCGGAAGCGGGCATCCCGTACTGGATCTGCGGTGGTGTGCTGATCGGTGCGCGTTCTTCTCGTTGCCATTTCATGCGTGGGTCCCTCGCATTCTCCATGGGATCAGAAAGAGGAAGGTGAAGAGGAGGAGGAGGAGGAGGAGGAGGAGGAGGCGAGTGAGGAGGGAGAGAGCGATGGGAAGGGGGGAGGAGACAAGGAGAAAAGGGACAGAGAGAGTGGGGGGAGGAATGGGGAAGGGATGGTGCGAGGGACGGAGCGACGACGGGGAGGGGCGGCCAAGGGAGGAGGGGCGAAGGAGGGATCATGTGAGGCAGAGGTGCGGGACGGAGGGCCTGGGGGGAATGGTGGGGGGGCGGTGGCGGAGGTCGAGGAGAGGAGCCACAAGAGGAGAGGGGAATTGGCGGAAGAGGGAGAGGCAGCGGGATCTGAAGAAGACGGATGCGCAGGGAAGAGAGGAGGACTGGACGAGGGGGGGGAGGGGGTGAAGCGAGAAGCAGCGGGAGGGGGGATGCGGACGAGGCGGGCTTTCAGCGCACGCCTGCAAGCTGTGCGCCCGAAGGCGAGGCGATACGAGCGCTCAGTCGTGCCGTCGGGGCGACGGCGCGCTGTTCGGGGGTCTGTCGTTGTGGAGGTGCGGCCTTTGTCTCGTCTCGTCTGCGATGGTGGCCCTATAGAGCGCCCGTGCGGTGCCGAGCTGCCGCGAGCGCTCCGTGGTCGTGCTTCTCTCCTGCTGGCCAGGTGCCATGCGCCACGGCGGGTTCGTGCCTCACGACGACGACCTCGACATCGAGTGCTTCGAGTCCGACGTGCCCAGGATCAAGGACGCCCGAGCAGAACGGGGGGGGGCTTCGGAGGGCGCACTGCCAGAGTGCGGTTCAGCGGGACTCGGCTCCAGCGCTCCCGAGCGTCGGTGCCGAGGGCGGGCGCGAGCTGCGTGCTTTCTGCGTTGCAGTGGGCAGGTAAGTTTAGGCAGGCGTCTTGGCATGCTGCCGGGCGCCCCGCACCGCGCAGCTTGTGTTCGGAGGACGTCTGGCCAGGCGCTCGATCTGGTCCTGACCAATCTGGCCCCTGGGTCGGAGGCTGCCGGCACGGAGGGATTCGGGGATAAGTCACGACACGAACACGACGCTCAACGGGGGAATGCGAGGAGGGCGGGGGAGGAGGGCGGGGGAGGAGAAGGAGGAGGAGGAGGAGGAGGAGGAGGAGGAGGAGGAAGAGCACTGCAATTGATGTGGATCGAAGTCCGCTCGGTTCTGAAAGGAGGAGGAGTAGCAGCAAGAGTCGGAGTCGGAGGAGGAGGAGGAGAAACGAGGAGGCGGTGAAATTTCCGCAGTACCGCCAGGTCTCACCAGGCGGCGTGGCTCGAGGGCGGCGGCAGCGTGTGTGGGGGCGGGTCTCCAGTAGTCGCTGGCAGTCTCGGGGGAGGTCTCCAAAGGCCTTGGAAGGCTCTGGGGACCCCTGAAGCCCAGAGACGTCCGAAATGATCGAGCCTCGAGGAGGGGGAGGAGGAGCAGAAGGAGGAGGAGGAGTAGGAGGAGGAGTCAAGCTAGCCAGCTCGAGCGAGTCAAGCATGGCATGCCCATTCCCACCCGCCCTCCCACAACATAAGAAACAGTGCTGGCGCAACTGGGGACCGAAATCAGATTGGCAAGGTGGTTTGCCACAGCTGATGCAGCCGCGATGGCGGTTACCGATAAGAAATCCTTGGCGCGTCTCAAAGGTTGTGCTGGCATTTCAGCACGAGCCGAGGAGGCCCCAGGAAGCCTTAGGATGCCCCAGGAGGTCTCAGGAGAAGCCCCAGCGACCCCCAGGGAGCCCCAGGATGCTTCAGGAGGGCCCAGGAAGCCCCCGGTAATTCCAGGAGGCTTGAGGAAGCCCTAGGAGCTGTCAGGAAGCCCCCGGGGAATCCCAGGAAGCCCCAGGATGCCCCAGGAGGCTCCAGGAGGATCCACGAGGCCCTGGGGAAGTCCCGGGAAGCCCCAGGATGTCCCAGGAGACTCTGGAAGGCCCCAGGGGGCCCTAGGCGCTCGACGAATTGGCGAGCGAAAAGTGTGCGCCGCGCCTTAGCGGGAGCGCAACTTTCAGAAAACATGCGCGCGGCGCCGAGGCGAGAGCGACCTCTCCCCCTGTCGCGCGCGATGTGCACCGCGCCCCCTTCCTGCCAAGCATTTCGCAAAGCCGACGACAAGAAAATGTCCAATGAGGAGAAACATACAGACTTTGTATTGTTTTTGACAGGTCGGACGGCCCCTCCCGCTTGGGGTTGCCCCAGACTTCCGCGCGCGATGTGCGCCGCGTCCCATTCCTGCTACGCACTTCGCATCGTCGACGACAAGAAGGCCATGTTGAGAGAAACGACGACGACTTTGTATTAATATTTTACAGTTCGGATGGGAGGGCCCAGATTGACGGCCACCCGCGATGTGCGCCGCGTCCGATTCCTGCTACGCATTCCGCATCGTCGACGACAAGAAAGCCATGTTGAGAGAGAAAGCGAAGACTTGGTATTTCTTTGTTCCAGTTAGGATGGGAGGGCCCAGATGGCACCCCTATCGGCCGGCCAGAGGGGGGAGCACGAGTACATCCTAATGAGGAATAAGGGTAGGAGGAGGAGGAGGAGGAATAATAATAATATTAATCGTACTGACATCGAGCCTCGAGGAGGAGGAGGAGGAGGAAGAATCATCGAACCTCGTGGAGGAGTAGTAGTAGTAGTAGTAGTAGTAGTAGTAGTAGTAGTAGTAGTAGTAGTAGTAGTAGTAGTAGTAGTAGTAGTAGTAGTAGTAGTAGTAGTAGTAGTAGTAGTAGTAGTAGTAGTAGTAGTAGTAGTAGTAGTAGTAGTAGTAGTAGTTAGTGGTAGTGGTAGTAGTGGTAGTGGTAGTGGTAGTGGTAGTGGTAGTGGTAGTGTAGTGGTAGTGGTAGTGGTTAGTGGTAGTGGTAGTGGTCGTGGTCGTGGTCGTGGTCGTGGTCGTGGTCGTGGTCGTGGTCGTGGTCGTGGTCGTGTCGTGGTCGTGGTCGTGGTCGTGGTCGTAGTCGTAGTCGTAGTTTTAGTCGTAGTAGTCGTAGTAGTAGTAGTAGTAGTAGTAGTAGTAGTAGTAGTAGTAGTAGTAGTCGTAGTAGTCGTAGTCGTAGTCGTAGTCGTAGTCGTAGTCGTAGTAGTAGTAGTAGTCGTAGTAGTAGTAGTAGTAGTAGTAGTAGTAGTAGTAGTAGTAGTAGTAGTAGTAGTAGTAAGTAATCGTAGTAATCGTAGTAATCGTAGTAGTAGTAGTAGTAGTAGTAGTAGTAGTAGTAGTAGTAGTAGTAGTAGTAGTAGTAGTAGTAGTAGTAGTAGCAGTAGTAGTAGTAGTAGTAGTAGTAGTAGTAGTATTGATGATAATGATAGTAGTAAGCATGCGATTGAGATGAACAGGTCCTCGAGGAAGCGGGTCCTAGACCCTAAGAATGTTGCGGGGACCCGCCTCTAATCTTGAGTCGTGTCTTGACCGTCTTGGGACCTCCCAGGCAGCGATTGGGGTTGGAGCGCCTGAAGCTTGAGGCCGAGGGTTCGGCTGATGGCGGATCGGGTGAGGAGGGAGCCAGCGGGGATGCCTGAGAGCTACTTGGCAGGGGGAAGATAATCACGACAGACCTGCTCGTCAGGGGGATCTGCCCTCAGATCGGGAGCGTCCAGTGGGGTGAGGACCAGGGAGGCTGGGACCATTACATCCCCCAGGTGTCACGGCTCCCCTTTGTTCTTTCACACACCTACTGCCCCCCCCACTCGCCCGCGCATGTGCTTCGATCCACGATGCGCACCAGCCCCCTCCTCGTGGCCCTCGTCGTCCCCAGCCCACCCTGATCAAGCGCTCGGGCGGTCGGCGCAGGGCCCGGCTTGAGCCCCGCGCCGGACGAGGAGGAGCCCCCCGCCCCTGCGCCCTGCGGAGTGGGGGGGGGGGGCGCAACGAGGGCTGCAGAAAGGGGGCCCTTTTAGGGCCCGTAAAAGGGCCCGTTAGGGACCAGAAGGAGAGTTCTCTAGTCCGAAACCTGTGCTCTGCTCCCACACCACATATCGCTCCCCAATAGAGCGACCCACCCCCCCGGGAAGAGGACGCGTTCGCGGCCTCCTCCCTGCCGGTGTGCTTCGAGGTCTGCAGCAGGCGGGCCGGCCTGCCCGGCGGAAGGATCTGGGCTCGGGCCTGTCAGCATCCCCTTTGTCTCATCGGTGTTCCCATCAACATGTTGCAGATGTTCTGTCCGCGCGCACTTCATCAAGCCGTGTAAGAACAGATGCTTCTGGCAAGATCGTCCAGCACCCGCATTCTCGTCTCACCACGCTGGGCAGTCACATTCGCATACACCACGCGTACACAAATCCGTATCACATCATACCATGCGGCCCAAATGCGCGAGCCGCCATGTGCGCGTGCCGAATTCGTTACAACACCATCGGCAGTCGAAGCATTGCACGTTACGCGTGTGCATTGTATCATCACTATCGCCAGCGCCATCGTATCACCGCCGTCACCGTCATTGCAAATCGCTGCCATTGTTGCCATCATCATCATCATCATCATCATCATCATTATCATCATCATCATCATCATCATCAGCAGCAGCAGCAGCAGCAGCAGCATTATCATCATTTTCTTCAGCGTTCTCATCATCATCATCAGCATCATCATCATCATCATCATCATCATCATCATCATCATCATCATCACCACAAACACCTTCATCGCCACGATGCGACATCATCATCGTCATCGTCGTCACAAGCATCGGCGTCGTAGTTGGCCTTGCCGTCGTCGTCATCATCGCCAGTACCATCGCTAGTATCATCTTCGCTGCCACCGTTGTCGACGGCATCCCCTGATATCGCGCCCGCTCGAGTCACCGTCCCGCACTGAAGTGTCCGCAATCAGACCTTTAACGTCATCAATCTATGTGCCATGCCATTTGTCATTCCGCTCACTATCTCCCTGGAATTGTTGTGACAAGTTCTTCAAGTTCTCTTCGGGTTCGTCATCCATCCCAAGTGAGAACGCAGTCCAGCACCCATAGTGGGGCTTCCTGGGGCTTCTTGGGGTCCTGGCGGTCTCGGGGGTCATCGGCGGAGGGATCGAACTGTCACTTCGAATCGCCCCTTTCGGGCTTCTCTTGCGGCACTCTTAGGCTGTCTGGGGGGGCCTCGTGGGCAGTCTTGGCCTTCTCGGGGGCCCCTTGGCCGTCTTGGAGCGTCAGACGCCAGAAAAGGTGAGAACTGCAGAATCCCTCAAACACCTACGGAACATTATTGAATCTAGCTTTTTGGGGCCTTCTCGGGAGGCCTCTCGATGCCCTCTTGCGGCGTCTTAGGGGTCTCCTCTTGGGCCGTCTTGAGGTCCTCCTGGGCGTCTCGGAGCGCTCTTGGGCCGCCTCGAAAAGCTTTCTTCCACCGTTTTGGGGACCCCAGTGCCCTCGTGGCCCGTTTCGGGGCCCTCTTGCCCCCGGCAAAGTCACGCGGGAACCCTTAGGAGAGCCCGGGAGCGCCCAGATCTCGGGGGCTGTGGGCGTCTTAGAAAAGTGCTCGTCATTCTACACAGAGGACGCTAAGAGACCTGCGTACACTCCACGTCGCGCCTCGGGGCACGGTGCGGATGTGTTCCCCGTCTGTTCCGCGTCTCTGTCTTCACCTCTCGCCTGCGCCCTTCCCGCGCCACTGCAGGGGCGGGGGGCGCCGCCTGCTGGCACAGGCAGAGAAGCGGCGCCTTCGGCAAGCTGGTCTTCTTCGACATCAAGACGATACAGACCACGATCGACGTGTTCCTGCGGGAGGAGTCGCTCGAGAAGCTGCCCGAGTTCCCCTCGGCCGCCGAGGTCTTCCCGCTGAGGAGATACGACTTCAACGGTGCTGGGCGACGGGCGAGAGGGGCTCTGGTCACCGCCCACCAAACCACCCCAACCCAACCAGAAGGCCCCGATTTGCCCTCCATTTCCAGATGGGGGGGGTCGGAGAATATTAGAAAAAACATATGAAGCCCGTAGCCTCCCCAACCCGAAATTCGAGTCTTCGAGTTGGGTTGGGGTGGTCTGGTAGGGAGTCATCTGGGTGAGGGGGCGGCCTCCTGAGAGAGCAGCGAGAGGGCGGGGCGCGGGAGGGATGGACGCTGGCAGCTTGGAGCCCGCACACCACGCGCCTTCAGCAGATCCGGGCTCCGCACGGCACACGCCCGCCGGGCACGGCAAGCCTGGAATCAGCCCGCACCAGCAGCTGATAATCGAGGAGGAGGAGGAGGAGGAAGAAAAAGAAGAAGAAGAGGAGGAGGAGGGGGAGGAGGAGGGGGAGGAGGAGGAGGAGGAGGAGGAAGAGGAGGAAGAGGAGGAGGAAGAGGAGGAGGCGGAGGAGGAGGAGGAGGAGGAGGAGGAGGAGGAGGAAGAGGAGCATCCCGACCCCCATAGTCCATGGTTGGCGTTTGCCAAACGACCCTGGGAGTCTACTAAGCAGCCCTGGCTGGTCGATTCCTGCCCAGGCCCGTTTACTGAAGGGCTCCGCTTGTCGCGGTGCAAATTATGAGGGTGGTTCTTATCTTTTCTTTAGGGCCCGCACAGCACACGCCGTCTGTCGAAGAAGAAACAACGGCATAAGCATACACTTTTGGCGCTCCGTGCGGGTTTCTTGGATCCGCGCTGGGCCCCTGTGGCGGCGATTCCAGCGCCGCCCCTGGCGCGCTACGCGTGCCAGGGAGGGGGTCCAGCGCAGATCCAAGAAATCCCCGCGGAGCGCCAAAAGTGTATGTTTATGGCGCTCTTCCTTCTTCTAGTCTTACACCCCGCGGCAGGGTTTCTTCGAAGGCCCGCCGGCCTCGTCCCGATATCCCCCTTTTGTGCGCCAGTCCAGGTGTGCTCGTCAGCGGGCCGGGAGGCGATCCCCGCGCATACTTGGCCCGGTGCTACAGCCCGGAGGCCCGCGGCTGCCCCTCTTCTTCTGCCAGCAGGCTTTGTTTCGAGTGGGAGATCGACTGCAGAATTGATTTACCCAAAAAAGGATTTTCCCCATCGAATCTCCGACGAACACGTAGAACTTTCGTAAATCTACGGAGGAGTCTAAGTATGTTCCGCAGATTCGAGGAGAAAGCTGATTTTGGGATAAATCAATTCTGCAATCGTTCCCCTACTCGATCGTTGCGTGATATAATGAACAAAACCTCCGGGTCCGTTGGTCGCCGCGGCGATCGCGGCGGCCGCAAATCGGGGCAATCTGCCAAGGAGTGGCATGCCCCTTCCCAGCCTCCCCCGCGTTCTGCGACAGTGAGCTGTCAGTGCATGTTCAACATCGGCAGTTTCTGTTTCCGGGGTCGACTATCACGCAGACCACGATGCAGCAGCGGCGACGCCGTGTCGTCGAGGTCACCGGACTTCAGTTGCACTCGCCCGAGAGAAGGTCTTGACCACAAGACGGAGTGGTTCTTTGAAGGCACGCCCGTTGCCGCCACTCCTGTTGAGGACTTCCTGGGAATACGTCCACGCGGCGAGTAGCTGGCGGCGGAAGGTCCAGGCGCATCGTTTTAGATCATAGAAGTTGTCTGAAGTTTGATCGGATTCCGCAAAAATTGAGCCCAGTCTGTTGCTGCAGCGTTGTGGGCAGTACAATACAAGGGGCGGGGGCCGGCAGGAATGCATTCAACGCAAGGAATGTGTGGCTGATCCTTCCTTTTCGAACCGATTTCAAAGTGTCAGAATTTGGTTCCTGGAGTGGCCCTCTGGGGCCTTTTTGTTGGCCGTCTCTAGTTTTTGCTCAGACCCTCTTGGGCCATCTGGCTGGGGCGTCTTGCGAAGTTCGTGGGTCGCTTGGCGACTTCGAAAGGCGAGAATTCGAAATCACATAGTAAGTCATTACAGTTGTTCAAATGTGTTTGGTTCTCGCAGGCCCTCTTGTGAGCATTTTGGCTCCTCTTCGGTCGTCTTGGGGGCCTCTTGGGCAGCCTTCTCCGTGGGCCGTCATGGACGCATCCTCAGCCAACTCCGAGGCCTCTTCGGCCGCCCTTGGCCGTCTCGCTGGCATCCAGGGGCTCCCCAAAAAGGCCCTCTCGGGGGCATTTTGGGCGGCAGGGCCACTGACAGCCCTCCCTGGCGCGGGGCGCCGCTGGTGCGGCCGCAGTGGCGAGGGCGCCGCTCGCAAGGGCCCGTGGGGGGTCTGCAGCTCGGCCCACACGGCGCGCGCTCCCCCCCGCGCGGGCGAAGCGCGCCACTCGGAGGTTGACAGACCTCCTACCCGGACACGTCGATTAGCGAATCGGCCGTTTTCGGTTCGCGAGAGGGCGTCGCGGCCGTCGTTTTTTGCGGGTCCAGGTCCGTCGGTTTCGGTCCTGGGCCGTTTTCACCAAAGTGTGGTTTACTACAGGGAGGTTTTTTGTCCACCGCCGAACCACAGCACGGGCACGGCGGGTCTCCGAAGGGCTGCGCCATCGGCCGGTGTCCCGCCCCTCAGGGCGACGGCATCTGTACACGCCTCGGGGGAGCGTCGTCTCGAGCACGTCAGAACTCGATTTGCCAGCGGCTTTTGACCGGCCCGTCCTGGAGTCCCAGAGGGAAGCGGGTCCTGAGGGAAGGGCTCTCGGGGCCCTCCGCGGCCCAGGGGCCGTCAGAAGACGACTCGGGACGAAGAGCTGGTCCTGGGGGCAGGCCCCGGGCTCGTCCAGGGCCCGTTTCCCTCGTGCTCTCAGGTCTCCCCCCAATGCTCAGTGCACATCCGCTGCCCAGGCCTGGCCCATCCTGGCTCAGCCACGGATGCATCTGCAGCGCTCCCGGGCCCATACTCGGGCCAGGCTCTCAGGCAGCAGACGTGTCTCGATGTTGTTGCCCCATCCCTCCCCTGCTGCCCCGTCTTGCCGCTTCGCCGGGGCAGTCTCGAGGGGGCACACCTTCGGGCTCTCTTGTCGGCGGCGCGCCGAGGGGGGGGGACGGCAGACGGGGCGCAGATTGGGGGAGCCTAGGCGTGCGGCCTTTGAGAAGCCTGCCCAGCCTTCTCCGAAGCCACACGGGGCTTCTCAGAAAGCTCGAGGGAAGCCCCGCCGCCTTCTGGGAAGGCCTGCCACCTCTCGAGTCCCACCGCGGCGCGCCGCCAATCTTGGGCTTCTCGGGGGGCATCTTGGGGCTGGATGGTACACCTTAGGTCTAATTACCTTAGGCAATCTCGGGGCGTGGGGTCTGTGGGGCCCATCTTGAGGGCACATTGGGATCATGTTGGGGCGGTGCGGCCACCTTGGGGCCATCTTGGCGCCATGTTGGAGAGGCTCTTGGGCGTGGTTTGGAAGCGATATTGGGATATCTTGTGGCTAACCATGAACTATGCAGAAGGCATGTGCAGCATAATGGTTTCTCACTCTATACATATATATAGATATATACATATATAGCCGCCATACTGGTTTAGACCATCGGCCAGGCGGCCAAAGCTGTGCCCATGCGGCACGCCCGACCAACCTACCAAGGCTTTCACAAAAGCTGCAGGTGGCCATGCGGGCGATGAGGACCGCCTTGCTGGCGGCGATCACCCAGGGCGTGGCGGCGCAGACGGCGGAGACCGAGGCTGTGCCTGTGCGCAGGGCCTCGTGGAGGTTTCTGCACTACAACTCGCTGTCGGCGCGAGAGACGGAGAGGTTGGACGACATAGAGACCGCCTGCGAGGGCTACGACTTCGTCGGCCTGATAGGCACACAGCGTCGGTGCGACCTACCACTTCAGCAACAGAGAGCTGGAGAGCGATGGCGCATAGAGAGTGGATGGAAAAGAGCCAGCTACAGCAACAAGTCTGCAGGTGTGCTCTTCAGTTTCGGCAACAAATTCAAACCTCGACACTTACGACGGGCGATGGCGGCACCAGAACAGTGCGCAGGACGGGGCCTAGCAGTGCGACTGGCATCAAAACAGTTCGACTTCACGCTGATAGGCCTCTATGTGCCGCCACGACCGACCAAGTTGGAAACCCGATCGACATATGAGAAATGCGTTGACATGCTGATGGATTGGCTGCAGGAAGTCTTACAACAGACCCCGAGCCGAAGCTCCCCCATCATATGCTTAGACCTCAATGACGGCATGGGCCAGACGGCCACGGAGAACGGCAAGGGGACGGAGTTCAGGGACAACACGGCTATCCACCGCCCAGGGTCGCGACGAGAACACTATGCTGGACGCAGATTTCGGGAGATTCTGGAAGGACACCACATGGTGGCCACGACGATGCAGAAGGCTGACGACACCTGGTACGGTAACTGCGACAACTCGTCGCTCGTGGACTACATATGCATACCGACGGCGCTGGAGAAGTGGGAGACAAGCTGCGGACCGTTGGCGAGGCTTGGTAGAGCAATGCAAAAGATACCGAGCAAACAGCGACGATATCACTTGCCAGTACATGTTAACCTTTGCATGCCCTCCATCAGCGAGCAGCGCAAGCAGGACAACTCACCAAAGTGGAATGCGGAAGCCATGATGCAGGCGTACGTGGGCATGGACATGGAGCGCAAGCGGGCCTTCGTTGAGGACATGGAGGCCACGCTTGATCAGAACTGGGACGAGCTGCTGGACTTGGCCAATCGTACGTCGGCGGATTACCTCTTCGAAAAGACGGAGCAGTTATTAATTGAAGTTGGACAACAATATTTCTCACGGGAACCTGAGCGAGATGAACGATACCAAGCCCTAAGGGAGAGGCGCATGATCTTACTCAAAGCACGACGAGGCTTTCGACTTCGGCACGATGAAAGCTCGGAAATGGAAGAACACGAAGTGGTGGAGGGACTCAAGAAACTTTCGGCTTACATGAAGAAGGAGCGAGAAATTGAATGGAAAGCTTATCAGGAGGATCTGCTGGACCAGATATGGGCACATTGGCGCGTTCGTAATATGGCAGAAGTACACAGACTTACACGGAGAGCGGCGAACACCAAGTACGGCGTCAAAAAGAGGCATTTCCTGACGGTAAAGGCCCTGGGACTTACAGCAGACAAATGGGCAGAACACTGGACACGGGCGGGACCAGACGGAGGCATGCAGGCGACACTGATGCACGACTGGGATCATTGGCGCAGCGAGCGACAACCTCAGGGTGCCGAGCCAGCAGTACTGGACGAACACCTTCGACGGGCAGCGGTTCGGGATCTTCGGCGGCTGGAGCGTTGGGTGAAAAGGGCCCCAAAAAGACGGACACAACCACCATGGGCAGCCCCCTTGGAGCTCCTGGCCATTCTCTTGAATCCGAATCCTGAGGCTCACCCGAGGAAGGGGCATAGAGGACTCGGCGCCCCTGAAGACCCCGTGAGTGCCCCGCTTTTCCGAGCTGTTCTGGAGGACGGTCTGCTCAGAATTAGGCAATCTGGTAGGACTCCCAGCTATTGGCACCTTAGCCAGGGAATCACCCTCCCCAAGTCCAAAGAGGCTCGCACGTCGGGGGGGACAGCAGACGGTACTAGGACGGTTCACCTTTTGGCCCCTTTAGGCAAGGGCTGGTACGCCATACAGAGTGTAGCTCCCAGGATGCAGGCACAGGTGCACGGTTTTCTAGAGGGCCGCTCAAAGGAGGCGGCGATCACAGTAGCACAATGTACAATGTGGCGTGCGCGCAGACAGGGACGCACAAGTATTACACACCTTCATGATTTAAGTAATGCCTTCGGCAGCGTCTCCTGGGACGAGTTTGACTCCACTCAGGAAGAACTGATGCTGGAAGATTTAGAACAATTCGGACGCCAGAGGTACCACGAAGCAGTGGTCCAGTTGCCAGGCGAGGAAGGCAAGGTGATGTTTCGGATCGGTTGTGGGGCGTTTATGGGGGACCCTTACGTGGTGCGCTTGTTTCTCCTTGCCTTCCAGAGAGGGGTGAACATCTGGCAACAAAAAATGAAGCAAACTGGCAGCGACGTAGGTAATTGTATAGCAGAGAGCCCGTTCACCAACAGAGA